AATGAGATGATTTGGAGGAAGAGAGGCAATGATGATGAGACATCATAACACTTAGTACCAATCAAAAAAGAAATCGAGCAACATTTTAGTTTGGGAGACTCAGGATAAACAGAAACTTAGGTCTTTCTAGGATCTCAATCAGTAAGATACTATCTGCACCATTAAATGGAAGATTGAAGTGTTAGGGTTTAGTTGCTGTATCTGGGGAAGATGTCTAAAAATTAAGGGAGATAGGGAGCTCTAGGGAGGTCTTCTCTAGAACAGATAACTGAAAAGGCTGTTCTCTCCTGAAGTGAATAAATGCTTTGCTGTTCCTCATTTATTATGCTACATAAAACAAAGCCTTTAACAAGGTGTTAGTGAGCCTGCAGCTGAGCTAAGTGTGCCTCCATCTAGTGTCTTGTTACCTTTGAGAAACCGTGCAAAATCTTTCTCCTATGTTAATTACTGATTTAATCAGTCAATGCCTACAGAAATCTTTTGCTCTAATTACAAAAGACAGTTGCTATAAACGTTTGACATGGTGAATACCTGTTCTGATCTTGGGCGGGCTGTAATTTATTAGGCACAAATATGAGGCGGAAACCTGAGCCGAGTGCTCAATCAGCAGTGACCCTCACCTGAAACAGATGATATTTGCGGGGTTCAAGAGTAAAAGGGAGGGGAGTCCAACTAGCTGTCAAATCACCTGGCAAAACAGCTGTTACATAAATGTAAAAAATATTGCTTGGCCTTTATGCACACTTTCTAATTTTTGTCCTTATTTTTCAGTCTTTTAAAAGGATAGCCCCTCCATTCATGAACAATTTAAGAGAGGGGGAACCCACTTTGCAGAGTTAGGAGTCATGACTGTTGTCAGCTGCAGTGGGGCAGCCAGAGGAGGGGGTGAGGATGTGTGTTAGAAGGCCCACGCGGTTGTGGGGACCTACTGAGGGTTGGGGGGACCATTTCTTAACCAGGGCATGTTCACCCAGTAAAAACTCATCCAGCTGTGAGCTCATGTCTTGCACATTTTTTCTGAATGTTATACTGCAACACAATTTACCCACAATGCAAATTCCTTCCAGACGTATACAGAATCGCCTACACATTGTGTCAAAATGCAAAGATCTTGTGCTAACGTCTTTAAGAAATAACAATTTTCTTGTCAACTTTCTTCATCAATCCCCTCTGACCTCCAAGAAAATACACCAGAATGTGTAAAAATTTTACACAACAGGGCTATAAACAAACTGGAGGCATAAGCATTTGCTTTGCTAATTTCAACCCGATTAAAATATTTATATGTTACTTACCAAAAAGGTGCGCTCTTCCTCGATTTTGCGGCAGTTGGTTCAGGAGAATTGCCAGGCAGAGATCTCGGTCGTGGTGCAGGCCTGGAGAAATGGTACAAAGAGTAACATTGCTGTCCTCCAATTTGTTTTACTATAACTGAGTACATTAACTATAGTATACTATATATGTAATTATTAATTCATTCACTTAATCACTCATATAACAAACAATTGCTAAGCATCCTTGCATGTATCAGGTGGTAGGAGAGATATACAGCTACATGATGCTAACTATTTTCTCAAGGAAATTAAGTAAATAAAGACATATAATAAACATACAAAACTGGAGAGTACCATAGAACAGGTAGGGATGGACACTCAACAGGGGCAGCCATGTCCAGCTGGGAGGCTGGGGAGAGCTTTATGGAGGATTTGGGACTTTAAGCTGAGGCTTAACAAGGAGTATGATTTCTTAAACATGGTGGGCAGGGAGAGCTGGAACAGGGAAGAAGCTGGGTCAGAATGACCAAGGCACACAGTTTGAACCTAATGGAAAAAGGAGCGAGGCAGGGCTGAGCACATGTCAATTTCACTTGAGAACATTTTTTGAGGGTTTGGAACGCAGGTGGTACTAGAGGATGGGTCACTGCAGTGTCCCGGGTAGACCCAGGGACTAGGGAAGTAGAGAAAGATAGGAGCTTGGGCCTCTTGGAATTCCCAGTTTATCAGGACCACCAATACCAAGGATTAGAATAACATGTTGGGGGGTGGTGTGGAGGTTTCTTTGGGGACCTGTAGCAGAGAAACCGATCTGCACTCAGCATCAGAGACAAAAAATTGTGAGTCTCAGGGAAGTGATGATTTAAGTAACAAATTCTGGTGAGATTGCCAGGGAAAGAGCCTAGATGGCACAGATACGTGGTGTGGACAGGCTCCTTCACGTTTAGGGGAAAGGGAGAAGCAGGCGAGAGGATAGAGAGGGGTAAGGAAGCTCAGAAGCACCTGGCAAATTCAGATCAAAGCCCCACATCACGGTGATGTTCCAGGGTTGCTGCATTTGTGTGTGGTTTCTAACCTGGTGACCAATTTGGAATTTTTACATTGTGTGGAACGCACAGATCCATGTTATAACTTAGAGAGTACACTGCTGATACATGCTCCTTCCATTCCTGGTTCTCGAGTGCCCCCCGAGGGCCAGGGTGGTTGGAAAGGTGGCACATGGTGCCATGGCCAAGCTGGGGGTGGGGACAAGCCAGTGTCTGAAGTTAGCATCGGGGGCCAGGGTCCATTTGTGGTTCTAGAGACTGTGGCTATCGAAGAACGGTTCTCACGCAAACCAGCAATTAGCTTTCTGAAATCGATTCTTTGGGGCGGGCGAATCTGCCCAAGTAGCTTGGAGCCGAAGAATTCCTGTCCCCTTGCCACCTGACTAGTGGGGACAGTTGTGGGAAAAGCTATTGGTCTCACTTCATGTGGAAGGACCTGTGGGCTCCTCAGCTTCCAGTTCCCAACGGAAACAACTTACACATAGTTTTCCATAAAAACGCGTGGGCCTAGATTTACAGTGGTAGTGACGAAATTTTCTTACTGGCTCTGTAGACTTTTGTAGTTTGGCTCAGGAATTTAGTCATATTACCTAACATTGTTTCTGCGAGAATACATATTCCACATTTTCCCATTTATTTATTCATCAAGAAATAGCCACTGAACATCAGTTGTGTACCTGGCACTCGATTAGACACACACTCTATCCGACAGTCAGCAAACAAAAGCTTTACCTACCCTAATACACTTCTAAATGACCATGTTGCAAAGACACTTTAAAATACAATTAATATTGTAGCTGGAAGTTGCCTATTTTCCCCTAAAACGGACCTTCTGTTACGTGGGCGCAGTCGCAGAGAGAGCACTGAGTGGAAAGAAGGAAACACACTGACGAGAACGTAGCCCGTGACCTGTGCTGGGCGCTGCACTACAAGGTCGTGTGCTTCACCCCACAGTGACCCTGTGAGGCTGGTGAGACTTTACCTGCCTCAAAACCCAGTTTGGTTGACTCTGAGGAACAGGCCTTCTCTGCGAGACCCCCGGCCTCTGCAGAGACAAGAATTCGGTCTGCAGCTCTGTGTGTAACTGGTTTTTCTCCGGGGTAGCACCCGCATCACCCTCCCCCAGTCTCCTTTTCTGCAGAGAGTCCTTTGTTATGTTTAAAGGGAATCACTAGGCAAATAGTTGGAGGGGTTGTCCAGCCAACAAGGTTTGGAAGGGATCTTACTGTTTGTAGTTGCTATAACTTCTGGGAAATACATAAATATACTCGTATATTTAAACTTGTCAACATGTTATTGGCCTTGACTCAAATGCCATAATAAAACATTATCAGCTCAGAGGGCTGCCAATACCAATATAAATATAATTACTTTCCATTGTAATTGTTTAATCTTGATATAGTGATAATCTACCCTTTGCTGCTTCTGGATATACAATTTTACAGCATATCCTAGTTATTTACTTAAATAGTCGTAGCACTTGACATCCCTGGTGAGTTACAGTTTTCTCTCCTGAAAGGGAGATCTCTCAGAGGAACCGTGAACACTACGATTTCAGGACATGGTCTCCTTGGGGTTCGCTGGTTAGAATAAATAATTTAAAAACCATTATTAAAGTTACCAAACAGAAATAGGTAGTTTCAGTGACTTCTTATACTTTGAACATTACAGGGCTTCATTAAGTGTAATTGTATGCCAATAAGACAACCCAAGGCAGCATCTACAAGACAAATAAATCAATAGGGGAAAAGTTGGGTTGATTGTTCAGTCTGTCCTAATTATGAATTAGACACACACACACAGCTGATCACCTTACAATTAATTAGGATGGTGTAAAAACTTCTGGAATGACTTTGACGTGGGTGATGTAGCCATAGTTTATAGTTAACAGCTTCTGTTTCTTGAAACTCACAGAAGATAGAAATAGCATGTTAATTTATGGAGAGTAATTACTTTAGGGTGGCATTGAGTTTAGCCAGGCAATCAAGATTATGGCTCCCAAATATCAAGTGAATTAAAATAATCATTTACTATTAGCTCTACTCCTGCAAAAACCATTTTCAGCTTTCAGTAATTTGACACCCTTCACAAATATTTAGAAAAGAACTGAGAACTAGGGATTTAAAGAAAATGAATATAGTATATAACAGAGCAATACATTCTCTACAGGTTTATAAACAGTGGTACCCAAACTTATTATTTAAAATAGCCTTAAACTAACAAGTTTCTGTGCTTATAGATATGTTTTTCTATATTCTGAATTTTCCCCCATTCAAGTCTCCTTCAATATTTACTTGGGAGGTCTCTGGTAAGAATCACACTACAAACAGAAGAGTAAAGGGGCCACATTTTTAAAGTTCTACAAACTGGGGGCATGTATAATATCTGAAGATTGGGGGGAAGGGTCTATGGTGAAAATTGAGTAGAGAAAAATGGTTACTTCTGTCGGTTGGTGCTTGAAACCTGAGCCAGCCACTGCCCCCAGAGCGGGAGGTGTGCGAGCCAGGCTTCCGCCCCTCATCGTTACCCTCCTCTGAGTAGCACGTGGAGGACATTATGTCCACTGTCCAACACAAAGGGCGTTCAGGGTCTGCGGGACTAGACATGTTTACCAGAAAACCAGAGTGTCTAAAACCCAAATAATGCAGCTTATGTTTTCCCATCCCCTTGTCTCTTTCAGGGTCATCTTCGTCAACAGCAGCCACAAAAGAGAAGAAGGAAAAAGGAAAGGAAAAAATAACCAGTACTCATGTTAACATTTGTCCTTGACTTCTCTGGAAATAGAATCTAAAAGGTAAAAATTTATTAATAGCATCACAAGAATGACCAGGAACAACGACCAGCTCCAATTCTTGTGCCGTGCTCCAAGCTGAGGTCCCAATGATGTATTTGCAGTTAGCATCCAGGACGGCCCACCTCACAGGTCAGGTGAAATTTGTGACATCGTTTTCCCATCTGTGAGTACCATGCAGGGGTAAAAGATGTATATAAATTGACTATGGTAGTAGTTGAATAACGTAGTAATTGGTAGTTATAATAGGACAAAAAATAGTGATTTCACATTCAAACACTCTTTAAATTACTTTGTACAGGTGGCTTGACATGTTCAGACAAATTCTCAGAGCCCTAATTGAGTCGTAGAACTGACTCACTGTAGAGCAAATGGAGACAATAAATGGTAGATGCAGCCGACGGACTTGGCATTGATAATTCAAAGTCTTGGCAAAAAGAGGCTGCCTCTGGCCAACACTGACTTGAATGGATGCAGGCAGTTTAACTGTGGAGAGCTCCATTTGCGGCATCTTTGAACATCGAGATCCCTCATCTGGAGTATTAGAACTCCAGCACCTCAGCCTGCAAACCTAGGGGGCAGGTTCCCCACCACCTTGAATCATCCTGGACATAATCCTCAGGCTACCAGGTCTCCCCTAATTTTATTTGGCTCTGATTTCTTTGTATCTTGGCTGCTCTGACCACTGACTACATTGCTGCTGTCATTGCTTCTTGCACTAATTCTCCAGTTTGTGGCCCAATAACAGTCTGATGGGTTTTTTTGTTGTTGTTGTTTTATTTTAATTTTAATTTTTTTGGCAGGGTCAGGCAGATATCTGTGGCTGCGATACAATTTTCCCTCTGTTGTTCTTCCTCTGTCTGTCTGTCTGTCAGTCTCTCTCTTAGTAGCCTGGTGTTTTCAGCTTACGGTCATTAGCACGCAAGAGAAGAAGGCTGAAATGTAACCTCCTTCTGGGGACAGCCTCAGACCCTATCTGCCCATTGTCACTCAGCTGATGCTGGGACCCTAAAGCTCAAAGCACACCTTATGGATTTCTGGGGAACTTCAAAGTTCAGCCTTATGGACAGAGAACTCACCTTTGATTTTAGAGTTGAGTAACATGCAATTTCATAGAAGTTAATGGATGCTCACTAGTATCTGCTGCCTTGCTAGAAGGTTTTCTATTTAAACCAATGTTTTCATGTTGCCAGAATTAACTGAGAACTCTGTATCGGTGTCCCACAAAGACCCCTGAGTGCAACTCGATGCTTGGGAGCCTTGCTACTGCCACTGATGTTCATATGGAAATGTAGAATTCCTGAAATCCAGGGAGGGGCTCTTTTGAACTGGTGTTGGTTAAAGACAACTATGTATGAATTAATATAGTTGTCACATTTTCAGATTTGATATATGTTCATTGTTTGGTTTTGTTGTGTGATTGCTATGTTGGTATTATGTTGCTTTTTATTTTGTTCCTTCACAAGTGCTTTTTTTTAAATTATGGGGTTTGTTTTTTTCTATGGAAAGCAGAACTAGATTAGGATATATAAATCCCTATGTTATCTACAATCAAAAGTTTGGGAAACACTACCATAAAATGATGGAAGGAAGTCAGGACAGAAAAAGTTTTATGAGCAGGTACTGAAAAAAAAAACAAGTCTTGTCTGTGGCCAGGTACTCCTAGGGTCCAGGGTCCAGGAGAACAGCTGAGTGGGGCTGGGAATCTGAGGGCCAATGTCAAGGGTAAGCGCTCACTTCATAGCCTTGCTCAGGGTCTGCCTTGTTTGTACATACAGAGAACCTGAATTTGTTTCAATTTTGCCTTCTTATCCGGGTATCATGAGAATCATTAGGGTTTTTTTGCCCATAATTCCTTTTTGCCGAACATTACTAGAAATTCATTTTCTACTTAGAATGTAAATTACATTTCCTATTTGTCCTCAAACCAATGTAGCATTTCTTTATGCCTCCGATGCATGATATTTACTGTGTCTTTGACATTTTTATTTAGCAGTCACTATTAATAAATCTTCATGAAAGCAATGGAGTCATTGTGATTTTGTTAAAAATGCATTGCTTACAGTTCTTTGAAGAAGTGTGAGTGTTCGGCTAAAAAGACAGTCACAGGAAGGGACACTATCACAGAAACCACCTGATTCATCTTTGCATTTGGGAAACTGATTTGCTTAGCTGAACTGTTGATTTTTTTCTGACCTCCATTCTCTTCAATGTGTTCGAATGTATGACTAGAGCTAACAAAGGTATTTTTTTAAAAAGTCACGCAGGCAAGAATATATGTCTCACCGTTGTATATTTTTCCAATGAACAGGATCAGAAACTTCCCACCATTTCCACGATGACATCCTTCGGAAACACATTATTCATATGATCGTTCTTCCTGATGTCTGACCTTCCGTTTGTCTGTACCTGTACTCCCCACTGCTCACTTCGGTGGGAACTGAGATATCTTTCACTTGTTAAAGGATATGCTATTTTATAAACTAAATAAATCCCCTTGAGTTCCTCTTCATGTTTCCTGTGTTTTATTTCTCTAGAAACAGAGATCTATGGTTCCAAACATGATACGGTAGGTAGTTCAGTCATCAAAATAATCAAGTAAAAATAGTAAAATAAATAGGATTCTGTTGTATATACAGTTGACCCTTTAACAACATGGCTTTGAACTGCATGGGTCCACTTATATGCAAATTTTTTCAACAAAAACCCATGCTGTTTCCAACAAGGCTGGGGACCTGCCAGTGCTGAGACCGACTCCACACACTGACTACGCTGTTCTGTATCAGGGACACGAGCATTCATGGACTTGGATGTCTCGGGGTTTCTGGAAGCAATCCTGTGTGGATATTGAAGGACGACTAATTTGGGGGGAGCTAGAAATTATACACGGACTTTCTACTGGGGGGTCAGTGCCCTCATCCCTTTTATTGTGCAAGGGTCATTTAAAAACATTTTTTTATTCCATTTTAATTAAGAAGACATTAAAAAGCTATCTGCTCCAGTGCCTGGCACATCATAAGGCCTGAAAAAAAGTTTTGTTTTGTCCTGTTTTGGGCTTGTTTCTCATAGCAGTTTGGTCGGTGACAGAGAGATACATATACATATACATACATATGCCATATGTAGGCATACACATATGGCATATGTATGTGTATGTGTGCATATATGTCCCTTTGAAAGCTGAGTTGGCTATCTATTTTTTTCTGTAAGGTACCCTTTTAAAGGTCTCTGCTTTTAAATACCTTATCAAATCACATCACTTTGTATGAAAAACAGCTGATATTAACACAAAATGTAATAGTTTTTACCACAACAAAGATCAGTCAGTATCGAGGAGGTGAGCCTGCATGGAAGGAACGGGTTCCAGATTCAATTTGTAGACGTGTTTGTTTGTTTTTTTTGAGACTCAAAGCAGAGTGTATACAGAAATCACACTGGCAAAATTCTACAAATCAGTCTTCTCTCTGACAAGGAGGTTCCTCTACACTAGCCAGATATTAGCAGGGAAACTCATAGAAAGGATAATTTGACGATAAAGTTATTACTTTATTTAACTAATAGGGACAGGTATGTAAAAGGAGAAAGAGAAGAAAGAAGGAAGAAAAGAAAATGATTCATGGTACAAATCTATAGGTCAGCTAACAAAATAAATAAAACAAATACAAATAAATAAAACTGTGGTGTTATATACTATAGTAAATTTAGTTATGTAGGTATAATATAAAGACATTGGACAAATCACAGACTCGTGAAGTATTAGGGAAGTGGAAATAGAGACAGAAAAATCTTAGTAAGTTAGTAGTGACTGAAGCATTCAGCAAGTTCCAACCCTGCTTGTAATATTGTCCACATAATGAATATTTCAGGTACATCTTGACATCCTCACATTTTTCAAAGAAAAGCAGACAAGATGCATTCTATATCTGTTAAAGACTTCTGATTGGCATACATGTTGAAAAACTGCTTTAAGACAGAAAGGTAGAATGTTCTTCAAAAGCCATAGCTATGAAATATTTATCCACCTCCTTTCATTGAAAAGAATGAGTTCATTCTGTGACATAAATCTCTACCAATAACACCAATAAAATTACATGCCTTCTGTTAAATGATTATTCTTAGAGGGTGAACAAGGTCTTGTGTATTGTAGATTATCAGAGTAGATTAATGCAAGTATTGTTTACAGTGTTCTTTTGAAAGAAAATGCATTTTCAAGCATATAGCACAGGGGATGTAAAGTTTGCTAAATATTTCCTTTAAAAAGGTGATGCTGAACATAGTTTTTTTCTGGGGCCATTTAGCTTCTTTATTTTTAATTTTGAAATTACATTTTTTCTTGTCAATATCAACCTCTCTCTGTAAGAAACTTTCGTTTATAAAAATGCATAGCTTTACCTTTGAGTATAGTTTTTATTAAGCAAGGCAAATATGCGTGTGTCTCCAAATACTGCTCAAATCTCCAAAGCCAGCTGAATAAATAAATATTATATGATCTGTAATCCCAAAGTCTGAAAATTACTCCATATGATGTAAAAAAGAAAAAAATACCAACTATAATTTCTTTTAAGTATATCTTGGAGCCAATGATTAGCAGTTTTGTTTAAGTTCTGGGGCCCCTGAGCCTCCATAAAAATAACTTTGAAATATTATATTATGTGTGGAAATTTTACACACATGCACATTTATAATCATCAGGCATGTCCCTCTGCCCTTTCTCAACCCGATAATCAACCGTAGTGCCTAGGCAAACATGGAAAAAATAAAGGATCAGAACTCTGAAGCACGCAACCTTAGTGCCATTGAGAACCACGTGCATTTCTGAAATCCTCTTTTACTGCCAATTTCTTGGTTGTATTTTCTATGGAATTGTCTGTTTCTCATTAGCAAATTCTAAAGAAATTTGATATAGTCACGTAACACTTGGTAAAGGAGTGTTAGAAAAATGCATTCCGGAGTGCTCTGCTTATCTTTTCTCTCCAAAGCCGTAACTACTGTCTGA